ATGCCCTGAGGTCAGAATGCAGAAAACAAACATTCCGGGGTTTCTCTTTAGTGTCTCCTCCTCCCCCCTCCCGTGTTAATGCTTAAAATGTGGCGTTTGTCCTATTTGTTTTTGCTGCTCACTAGTAAAAACAAATACCAGACCAGTGTGTGTTCATTTCAATATTCCCTCCAAGCGATCGCCTTAAAGTCACTGTACAAGCTCTGCTTTCTCCTTGTTAAATGGAGAGGTCCTATGTTTGGATCAGGTGCATTTCTGCATCAGAGTGAAATTTACGTCCTCGGCAAGTTTACAATCACTTGTGTCCACCCAAGAGCAGGATCTCTGTGAATTAGGCTCTCTCAGTGCTACTCTCCAAATAGTTGCAGTTACTGAACACATACATTCAAAATACAAAGTCACTTCAGCCATCCAGATAAGATGATGCTGAAAACAAGCAAGTTCAGTAACTGAGCAATTGCCTCATCATTGCTCTGGCACCCAGGATCTTGGCAGGCAGCAAGAATGATTGATGTTCTTGGTGTCCACAAGTGCCAAGTGCCCTTGAATGACCTGCGGAGCAAGCCACAGATTTGCCGCCTCTCCCAAAAGTAGCCACTTGCCTGTTGTGGTAGCTGTAAACTTACTGATGATGGCAGGAGAGAGAATACAGCCAATGGGAGAGGATTATTGAAGGACTCACTTTGTATGTGTTGCAGGATCTGAAGTAATGGCTGGTTTTTTAAATTTTTTTAACAAAGTCCTCAGTGTTCTGTTAGAACTAAAAAAAGGAAAAGAAGAGAATTCTTCATACACGTTTGAAAACTTTGATTGGGTCTCTCGTTCCTGACTAGCAGAGCATGAAGAAACATGCCATTCTAATGAGGATGTCAAAAGGGAGTCCGCTGCAAGTTGCTCGCCCCTCTTCACTGCCTGTTCTCTCCATCTTTCTGTTTAACAGAATCTTGCACCCAAACGTTGACTGCCTGCAACATCTGCAAAAGCTGCCCAGCAAACTTACAGGTTAATGTAACGAATGCACTGTTTTCAAAGGTGTCTGCGACTCTGGCCTCTCTAAATAACCTTTAATGAGATCAACATACCAATGCAAAAGTAGGCTGATGTATGCAGTTATAGTGAAGCCTGTTGAGTCACCTGTACAGTAATAGTACATCCACGATCATGGTTTGTAAGTTAGTGGTAACATTTAGCTTGCTTCATCAATAGCTGTAACCTACTCTGGCAAAATGTACAATCTCATTTAGAAATAGGACTTCATGGACATGCAAATTCACCTTAATTGCTAAAATTGAATGATTTTGCAGTCAGTCAACCTTTGCCATTTCTAACTTTAAAAGAAGATTCTAATCACTCATTGACTGTAGCTGTTTTAAGCTTTAAGCAGATGTTTATATTGTCCCCAGTAAAGGCTTTTGTTACAAACATTTAAAGATTTGTAACCCGTTGCACTTTTATAACCACAAAATACATAATTTTCTTCTTGTAAATGAAGAGGCAAAGGAAATTTGAAAGTAAGTCTTAAATTCCAAAGTGGTGCGATGCAAAGTGACCTTTTGTGCTAGTAAACAAATACCCACTAATCCCATATAAGACTTTGCAGCTCTTATTGGGAAGACAGGAGTGGAGATTAATCTGAGTATTTGTGATTCTGTTGATGGGAGTAACAAGAAACAATGCAAATATCTGCTGCAAAGTTCGTCGGGGTCAGAAAATAAGCATATAGCACTTCAGTCCTTCGCTGGGAGCAGAGCCAACAGATGCAAACCAAACCCACAAGCTATCAGACAAGATGTCTCCGATTCTGTTGAGCTTTACACTCTGGTTTTTCATTACCTTTTATCCATCATGATGTAATGGCTACAGCTTTGCTAGAGCAGTCTCCCTACCCAGGAGCAGAGGAAGTAAGGATGTTTTAATATTAAAATAGCAATACCGTGCAGCATAACCAGTGAAAACAAATGACAGCTGGAATGTTAGCTGTGGGGGTGGAGGTGTACACATGTGCACCTCTGTTGTATACAGTGGTACACATTTTTCTCCCACCTCTTTCAAGTAAAATTAAATGTCTTAGTAGATACACAGATTGCTTCCTTGGCATGCATCTACGAGCTGCGTTGGGGTCTATTTTTTAGTCAGTCCCACATGACTGTGTCTATACTAACCCGGATGAATTGGCTGTTACGAATGATACACACTGTTTTTCTACAGTCCTGCCAATTCCAAAAGGAGCAGTAAATTCCTATGAACAACCAGTGTATTTATTCAAAGGGTTGTTTTTAACTATGGGTTGGTTTAATTTCCAGGTCGTACTGTTATGTTAGCCAAGTGCTATTGAGAAAGGAAAAGTTAGACTATGATCCTGCAAAGATATTTAGACATGTATAATTTTACTCATGATGTAATATAATCACATGAATAAAGTTAGGTACAGACTTTGTGGATTTACAGAATCATGGTACTAGTAATTTTTTCCTTAAAAATGAGAAAATAGAATATTTTCTCAGTAAATAGACCTACATATGATTGCTAAAGTACTTGGTAACATTCTGGATTAAGGAAAAGGGAGGGTGAGTGTAAACCTTAAGGATGTGTCTAGACTACATCCCTCTTTCGAAAGAGGGATGTAAATTAGACATATCGAAATTGCAAATGAAGCCGGGATTTGAATTTCCCACACTTCATTTGCATAATCGTGTTATGGCGTTCTTTTGAAAAACACTATTTCGAAAATGAAACCGCTGACTAGACGCAGTTCTTTCAAAAAAAAAGAAACGCCTTTTTTGAAAGATCCTGTACTCAAAAAATGAGGTTTACAGGATCTTTAGAAAAAGGATTTTATTTTCGAAAGAACCGTGCCTAGACTGCGGTTACACTTTCGAAAGAACGCTGTGATGCGATTATGCAAATGAAGTGTGGGAAATTTAAATCCCGGCTTCATTTGCAATTTCAATGTCTAATTTACATCCCTCTTTCGAAAGAGGGATGTAGTGTAGACGTACCCCAAGAAGATTTTGGTCGTCTTTGTCTCAACTCCTACTTTCGTTTTAGACAGCTGCTGCTGCTATTCGAAAGAGAAGATTTTTATGAAAGAGAAAAATATGTAAATTAACAGGATCTAGCAGTTTTAAAATTTATTGGCTGCTTTCATTTGTTACCTGGTTACGCAAACGCTGCAGTCAGAGTGAAAGAACTTGTATGTCAAAATGTTAAGTGCACATTCACACAAGTTCTGTTTTTCTCCAATTCAGTTACATTGGGTTAAGATTGTAGAAAAATACACCTCTCTGCACTTATTTGCTGTGGCATTAATAAAGTTAAACTGGAAGTATCTTCAAGTTTCGAGAAGGCACCTTTTAAATCATTTTTTAATGCTTCCTGCCTCTGAGGCAAACTTTCTCCCTCAAGAAAACCTTCCCTTGTGGAGATTGTCGATCAGTAATTCTGTGCTGATTTCATAAACCTGGAATCAAACCACAAACAGGAGGGAGGACTAAAAGAAGGAAAAGTGCTACATCGCTATTTTCTGCCCTGGAATGTGTTCTACATTTTTAATAAGATCCCAGATTGTCTGTGGCAGTGGCCATCGATTTTGTATAAGAAGTGAATGCCTTTTGCTTCTGTTGCACATGTGCACAATACTACCTTTTAATGGCTTGTTTGAATTCAATAACACCGTGCACTTAAAATTAATTTTTTTCTGGGAGTCTTATTAGCTCATTGAGATGCTGCCACTCTTGATGTCCTGTGACAGAAACCCCTTGGTCAAATTGTATCTGTCTCTTTTTATCCCGTTTTACCAGTAGATAATGTTGCGATGAAAGATCCTCCGGACTTATTGGACAGGCAGAAATGCCTGGAGGCCTTGGCCTCGCTGCGGCACGCCAAATGGTTTCAGGTTGGCTATTTGTTCTTATCTTATTGTTATTGTAGCCTTATGAGGGTTAATTAGAGACACTTTTAATGTTAATGCCTTCTTTAATCTCTGTCTAGCCCTTCTAGAGTGCAAGTCTAGAATTCTGAATTCTGAGCGGTGTTCTGTAAAAGCAGCGGTGCTAGGTAGCTAGCCACCTGGTCGACAGTTGTCATGAGGCTACAAAAGCAATTTTAGCATTATGCTTCTCTGTACTGTTACGCTTGCCTTTCTATAAAATGCAGTCTTTTGCTTTTATGCAACTTTTTCTTTTTGTTTTGCATGAAACTGATTAAGTGCTCCTTAGTAACCCTGTTAAAGAACCTATTGCAGGACTCTATGCGTTTTTAAAAAAAGCAACATTGCAGGCGGGATTTCAGCAGCTGTATTGGAACCATTTTGTTTGTTTTAGGCCAGGGCAAATGGACTAAAGTCATGTGTAATTGTTCTACGTATTCTGCGTGATTTGTGCAACAGAGTCCCGACATGGGCCCCGCTAAAAGGATGGGTAAGTACGGACCAAGAGGCGGAGGGCAACTAGACCTTTGAAACACGGTGGCCATTTACTGTCATGAGGGCTGTGGCGTGTGCATGTGATGCTCAGCTCCCTGCTTCCCCTTCCCATGTCACAGCCATTAAAACAACCGTATGTTTTAAAAACGCCCGTGCAGCTGAGGAGGGAGAGAGGCGGCTTGTGTCCATTTCAGTAACTCTGTACGGTGTCTGGGAACCATGGCCGTGTGTGTGCTACAGAATCTACCCCTTGTCATAGAAACTGGATACTTAAAAGCGTCTCGCTGCCAGAGCTGGTGTGGGTAACCTTGGAAGTGTGAGCTCAGTGTAAGCCAACACCGGGGAGTTGGTAGTACCCCCTGCTGGGAAAAGCTGCACACTAGAAATCCACACGTTAATCAACACCCCCGGGGCACTAGGAGCAGCGCCTCATCCCCATTCAAAATGATCTTTTGTGTTTAACTGCAACCACACACGCATCCGTACTAATCCTAATTTAATGTCTTTTAGCCACTAGAGCTTATATGTGAAAAATCTATAGGTACTTGCAATAGACCCTTGGGCGCTGGAGAGGCCTTAAGACGAGTGATGGAGTGTTTGGCATCTGGAATTCTGCTTCCCGGTAAGGGCCCAGAATACATTGGGACGCACCAAAAACTGATCCTCTGTTTGGAGATGTACACATTTTCCGCCCTTGCGTTCCATTCCTCTTTGAAATGCCTGGTGCACCGGAGCAGCAAGCAGGATACTTTGCCTGTGAATTGTTAACAAGACATTGAGACGCTCCAGCATTAACCTAACAATCGATCGTCCCCCGCTAATCGGTGCAACGTGCCCATGGCGTGGTGCAGATGGTGTGCCGTGCTTGCTGGGTGTGGAGTTGGCACGACAGAGTGTCTGTTGGGAAGACAAGGGGCCGGAGAGTTAGTACACGTCCGCGTTTTGAAATCAGTTCTACGTCCCTTTCCCAGCTTTGAAAACACCGCTGCCAAACTCTGAGCCCTTGTTGTGTCTGACGTGGGCAGTGTTAACAACCACAGTGTCAATGGCTCAAACCCTTAGCGTTAGCATCTCCCTAAGGATGCTGGTCGCCCCTGAGCGAGACGGGCTCTGCACACTCACTGGAGAGTAGAGGTTAGCCCTTGACATTTCTACTCGACTCCAGGAATCTTCTGATGTGTTAACCTGCTCTGAATTGTCTCTCTTCCCCCTTATAGGGGGCCCTGGCCTACATGATCCCTGTGAGCGGGAGCCGACAGACGCTTTGTCCTATATGACGGTGCAGCAGAAAGAAGCCATTACACACAGTGCTCAGGTAGAAACCTCTGCTTCCAGGGACCTGCCTTTCTGCTGCAGGGCGTCTGATTCGCTGCCTCCGGTTTACCCCTTTGCTCAGAATGGCTGCTGCTTTGCAGTAACTGTGGCAGCCGCGCTATGCCCTGCACTGCAGGGATTAAATAAAGGCTTGGAGAATATAGGAGTTCCGTTATGAATGAGATTTTCCCTGGGAGGGGGCCAGCCCCAAGCCTGTGCTGCACGTAGGTTCCACTTTACGCTCCTGTGGCTCCTAGGTCTTGTACTGATGCTCCAAACGAGGGGGGAGATGCACAGTGTTGCCCAGACATGGCTGTTTCTGTTGACCCTTTCCGTAGAGATTTGAGTCCTTGCTTGTTGGAGAGACGTTGATCCTGTGTCCAGACACCCGGGCAAAGCATGGCAGTGATGGCTTGTTTCTGTTCTTCCCTAGCACGCACTCAGACTATCAGCCTTTGGCCAGATCTATAAGGTGCTGGAAATGGACCCTCTCCCGTCAAATAAATCCTTTCAGAAATATTCCTGGTCAGTGACTGACAAAGAAGGTGAGTGCAGACCATCTCTTGCGGGAACCTCGTTAAAAGCACAGACCCAGGACTGCAACCCCTTGGAATGTAGCCTGGTGAAATTCTGGGTAATGTGCTGTGTGTGTCAGAAGAATTTCATTTTTTAAAATAGAGATTATGCTATTAAGGAAAATCTGTCAGCGTCTCTAGTCACTAAATAATAGACCATACAAAAGACCATGGAAAATATAACCCCTGTAGGGTAGCGTGTGGCTTTCGTCTGATGTATGACCTCCTTGGAGCTTGGGAAATGAAAGTATCACATCAGTCTCTTATGCTAGGGAGCAGGAGTCTTGAGACAAGCCAAAATGAGCAATATTAGGTCAGTGTCTTTGCACAGGTTCGTGCTAAGAATCCCTTGGAGAAAATGGCAAAGTAAAATAAAATTGTCCTGAAAAACTTCTCAAGAACGGTACTGTTACAATTTTTACCTCAAACTGTATATTTAAAAAAAAATGAACCAGTGGTTCTCAACCAGGAGTCTTCCAGGAGGTACAGCTCAAGTAGATCTTTGTCTGCTTTTACCAGCTACGTAAAAAGCACTATCAGCATCAGTACAAATTAAAATTTCCTGCAGACAATGACTTTTTCATACTCCTCTATACACTCTACACTGAAAGGGAAGTATCATCTTTATCTTCCAATTGATTTATTTTAGTAATTGCATGGTAAAAATGAGGAAGTTCACTGTGGAGCTGTGAGACTTTTGTATTCTGATGGCTGGTTGTGTAAGGTAATTTTTAAGTGAGGTGAAACTTGGGATACATAAGACAAACCAGACTCCTGAGAGGTTTAGTCTGGAAAGGTTGAGAGCCACTGGTCTGAACCATCGCTTCCTAATTAGTATGCTCACAAGAGAGGGGGCTCTGGCTTTCTGAGATCTGTGTTTTTAGTTGGTATTTGTTAAGAATCGCTGAAATAGCGAATTCCACCAGCCCTTTACACTTTTGCTCAATACCCTAAATATGTAACCTTCTGGGCTCATCTGGAGTGACTGTTTTTTGTCAAGTAATCAGACTTGAAGTGGTTCTTTCCTTCCTTCCTTTTTAGGCGCTCTCCAAAAACCGTGTCGCCAAAACCAGTTGTAGTTCCAAACACCTAAACAATACATCAGGCGATCCTGGTTTTCCTCTAGCTCCATCTTCCTACCCACTCTTGGACCCTGAAATGAATATTAACTATATTTTCTACCCTGAACTAACAGGGCATAGGGCTTTAGCGCAGTTGTATTCAGTTAGGTTTTCTGGCTGGCTGGATAAGTCACTGCCCACATCTTGGCGGGCTAGAGGGCTTGTCAGGTATTTGCTCTCCAGTGAAAGCATGTTGGTTATTTTCCTGCTGGCAGGGATGGGCTGCCTGTGGCACCTGAGCTGATGGTTTTTTGAATGGCACACAGAGGAGTAGTTCAGTTAGGGGCAGTTTATTTTTCCTCTCGTTAGCATTGTACCATGTAGCGGTAAAGTCCGTTTATCCAAATTTCCGTTCACCAAAAATCCCAAGTCTTCGAGTGAGCGGTTCCCCATCAGGGTGGAGAGAAGGACGTAGCTGCCAAACCGGAGCCTCCTTAATACCGATGGTTTTTTGAATGGCACACAGAGGAGTAGTTCAGTTAGGGGCAGTTTATTTTTCCTCTCGTTAGCATTGTACCATGTAGCGGTAAAGTCCGTTTATCCAAATTTCCGTTCACCAAAAATCCCAAGTCTTCGAGTGAGCGGTTCCCCATCAGGGTGGAGAGAAGGACGTAGCTGCCAAACCGGAGCCTCCTTAATACCGCTTAAGCACTGGGAGGCAAAGCAGCATTTCCCATCTCTGCCTCTTGCTTCCAGCTGGAAACCCTGATGTAGGGATGGGCCCTGCTGCTTAGCTCCAGCTCTGCCCTGGCTATGCACTAGGCCCCCCCGCAGCTCTGGCTCCCCTGGTCCCAGCTGGTGTCTGCATGCTGAGCCGCCTCTCCCCCAGTCTGGCAGTGCTCACTGGAGAATGTAGGGACCTCCTGGCAGAAAAGGCCAGGAACAGGAGCCCCTTGGAGCCCAGATAGCAGGGCAGCCCTTAGGGCGGAGCCCCCAGTGGGGAGCAGGACAACAGCTGACACCTAGCAGGCCAGCCACAAATCCCTTGTGGGTGAGATGTGTCTCGTGCACAGCTAGCACAACGCTGCCGGAGAGAGTTAGATACTTTAAATAGTGGAGATTTTAGGACAGGCAGCTGGAATCACAGACTTGCTCCATCATAAAGTTGCTAATGTCCACCTTGAAGGACCATTCTAAAGCGTTTTTAGAAATGATTTCCCTCTCCCACCTCTTCTGAGCATAGTTCATTTAGTCCGAACTGATTAATGCTCCCTGTTAGACCACTTGTTCAATCCAGGCCGTGTTCTAATTAAGAGATCATGTCTTTGGAGTTGGAGCACTGTCACAGAAATAATAGTTTCCTGTCACTTGATAATGCTGCGGCTAGTCCTAGCCATTTATTTTCAAAGTGAGAACATTGATCCAGCGACACTATTACCAGGACTTTATTTCTATTATGGCACATGATGGATGTTGAGATACTTTTTTTCCCCCCCTACCTGATGGTTGCTGAGCTCAGGAGAATTACTGGCATGCTGCATTCTCACAGACCTGTTGTGTGTGTCAGCTGGAGTTAGCTTTTCAATAAAAACACAGTGGATTGAATGAAGATGATCATTTTTTTTGGGTGGTGGTGGTCTAGCTAATGTTAGCAGCACTGCCATCTGGTGGGCGGGCACATGTGAGATACAGAATAATGTAAATGAAATTCAGTACTATAGAGACACTGATTTCTGTCGTGCCGAGCGTTAACATTTATTTATTGGACCAAAGCTGCTTCCAAACTGCTGAAACACCAAGTCACTTTGTTTTCCTAGACCTCTGACTTCAGCTCCCCTGTAGAATGTTAGTTTTTAAAATAAAACTTCAGCTGTTGGACTTTGATTCCTTGCAGAGATTTCCTGATGCTGACGGTGCTGATCAGAACATATGTAACAAGATCTGTATTGACTTACTGTTGATGTTTGAGCTAGTAAGGAAGTGGGTTTGAATATGTGATCTTATTGGCTAACATTACAAAGTCCAATACCGTTGGCCTCTGGACACGAGTGGAAACTGAAGGACTCCCCACACAGTCCTCCTGCTGCTGGTTATAAGTTAACACTTTCTTCTGCGTAGCAATATAAACTCTTAAATCCGGCCCCTGACAGGTGATTGAGTATTGGGGCTAATCAGGCAGGTGCTATGGGATCACTGCCTGGTCTCCACTCTGTTACTGCCATATTACAAGGAGAACTATCTTCTAGGTGCCAGCTCCTCTGCACTGAAAAGGCCATTTGAAGATGGATTAGGGGATGATAAAGATCCAAATAAAAAGATGAAGCGCAACTTGAGGAAAAGTAAGTGCCACTTGTGTCTGTCCTGGCGTCAAGGCGCCAGCGCTGGTTATAGTGGGAGCTGACACAAAAGCTTCTTGGTGTTGGAGTGGAATGGCAGGGCGGGGGGGCGGCTGTTCAGTCCCACTGTGCTCCGAATTTCATACACCTCTGCTTAAAGTTGGGGTTGAAGATCTTTGCGCTGGGTTGATTGACTTGCTTTTACTCCAGGGGGTGATATGAATACTTGGGTTGCCCAAAGCAGCCCTTAGGGAAAATGGCGCCCTGGTTTTGGTGCCCTGACCCTTGGGGGCATAGCCCCACCCACTTCCCCTGCTTCCCCATCCTGTACTCTCTTTACCACGAGCCCCTGCACTGTGTCCGCTTCATCCCAACCCCTGCACTTTCCTCCCACCTGTGCCCCCAGCACGTCCTGCCACACTGCCCCCCGGCCCAGTGCCCTCCACCCCCTTTGCCTGGCCACACCTAGGCCCTGTTGCCCCTCACACTCTGGCTACGGTGCCTGGCCATGGGCCCACTAGCCCAGTCATAAGGCCGGTCCTGCTCCAAAGAATTCAGATACTTTATCTGGAATGGCGCGTCGTTCTCTCTAGCCACCCCAGACCAGGACCTCTCGATACGTAAGACTGATTGTTCACAGGGAGCAGGTGCCGATTCCTGACAGATCGCATGTAGTGTATATGCAGGTCAGGAGCTTGTTCTGGATTGCTGTGAATGAATTGTGCCTGGTGCCTAGTTTCATAGGGGATGTGGCTGCGGGTAGCACTCGTGCTGTATGACCCATGGTGTGTCATGTCACGTGACAGCAGTCCGGAGGAACCTGACTGATTTGGTACAGATCTGAGCTCTACGGGGTTGTGTGGTAATGGTCATGTATTTACCTGCTTAATGGATGGTGCTTTACAAATGCAAAGTGTTGCGCTTCTCTGTTTCTTTCGTTCAACTTGTTTTTCCTTCCCGCCCTCTCCCCAACAGTCCTAGACAGTAAAGCAATAGATCTCATGAACGCTCTGATGAGACTGAACCAAATCAGACCAGGGCTTCAATATAAGCTTCTGTCGCAGTCTGGTCCAGTCCACGCGCCAGTCTTCACAATGTCTGTCGATGTTGACGGGACGACTTATGAAGCGTCAGGGCCGTCTAAGAAAACGGCCAAGCTCCATGTGGCAGTGAAGGTAAGGCACAGGCTCCATGTGGCAGAGGCAAGTTGATAATTCTAGTCCCATGTCTGGAAAACCCCCTAATAATTTTAATAATATCCCAATCTCTTAGAACTGGAAGGGACTATGAGAGGTCATTGAGTCCAGTCCCCTGCCCTCACAGCAGGACCAAGTACCATCGCTGACAGATTTGCCCCAGATCCTTAAATGGCGCCCTCAAGGATTGAACTCACAACCCTGGGTTTAGCAGGCCAATGCTCAAACCACTGAGCTATCCCTCCCCCTAAGGCAGTGTCTCATCAAACCCAAGTGATTACCTGCTCTCCTAGGCCTTTTCAAAGTGTTCTGGCCTTTGCAGACCCCCTGGAGGACAGGACAGGGGAGGAGTGAACTGAGCTGTCAGTGTGTGAAATGGTGCTGGTTAGAGATTGGGTGGGTTCCATGGTTTTTTTGTTTTGTTGTTTGTTCTCCTTGCTAGTTAGAAACGAGTACAATGGCTCATCGTTCTGTTCCCGCTCCCCTCACCCTGCCTGCCTGTCCTTGGGTTGCGAGCAATGTTCTCACTAGTCATTTTCAGCCATGTGTGGATTTTTCCCCTCTGTGTGGAATAAATGTTATGTGCCATGTGCACCACCAGTGGAAACAAACACCCAGCTGCGGGCGCTCTGCTAATCAGCTGGGTGGCATTGGGATCTCTCTGGAGTGGCCGCACAAGCACCCGGCGCGCAGGGAACACTGGTTGTGAGCTCCTAGGAGCACCAGCCGTTCCCTTGCGAGTGCCTGGAAATCACCCAGCGCATTGTGGTTGCTACAGTAAATACATTGAGGCTGCTGAGTGCCAAGAGACAATTTGTCAGCAGATAGTCCATCGGTAGGAGGCAGCCTGGACCGTTCTCTATTGTCCCCCTTCCCAGAGGCTCTGAGGGTGAAAGCTGGAGTTGGTAAAATGACGAGATTTGAGTAGCTGTCTAGTAAGTAAAAACAACCACCACACTCATCCCCCATGCAAATGTGTACAGATAGGTTAGGCCCTGCTGTACCAGACCTTCCCTGTGTGCGTAGCTGAGAAAGGAGGGAAAAGTTTTCTGCCAAGTGCAAAAACAAAATGAGACTGAGTCCACAGAGCTGCGGTTGCAAGAAGAACAAACCCATCTGCCGTTATCTGCGCTTCGTTTCATGTGTTTTGAGTGAACTTTCTTTACAGGAGGTTCATCTGGCAACTTTCCGTTTTTCTTTGATGTAGAATTTGAAAATCCCATTGTCCCTTTTCCTTTCATGCTCAAAGCACCCAAAAGTATTTGATAGAATGTCTCGTTCTGCGGGAGACGTGGCTTTGTATGTGTCCTCTCATCCCGGCCTCCTCGCACCTGCGAGTGCCCCAGTAATTCTCTTTGTAATATAAGAATTCTGCCTTGAAAAGCAGGATCTTATCTCTGCCTCCCTCCTGCAGGGTCCCTCTGTGGCTGGAGCCTCCTTCGGTCCCATTTTCCCCAAATTTGCAGCCTGCCCACCCACTGGGCTGTGCTTTGGAACCACACTCTTCCAAGCTGAGAACCAGCCAGTAAGCTGGCCGTGCAAAGCCCCAACAGTGACTCTGCCTGCCGGCCCCGGCCCTGCTTGTGTAACTGCCTGCAGGTGGATTTGAACCGGGGCCCTCTGGAGCTCGAGCTAGAAAGCCAGCTGGGTCTCCGCTTAGGCTGCAGAGCTCCCTCATTCTTCTCTCTCACTGTAAGTGGTCTAAGTGCCACTCCATAGGACAGTGAGCCACGCCTACTTGGTGGGTGGGCTACCCTTGCTCACACACCAAGAGGTTGTGGGACGCAACGGGGAGGTTTCCGTTTTTAAGGTTCACTGTTGAGTTACATAAGCTCTAAATCTACAAGTGCCTTTGACAGGCAAGCAATGGTGTTCCCTCCCCCACCCCCACCTCCAAAATGGGGGCAGGAATGGAGCTGTCTGGAAATGCAGTGCCTGCTCCCTATGAACCGTGGGGACGGGTCTGGAGTGCCTGTGGCCCTGCGTTGGAGGGGAATGCTTATGCTGTGTCCAGTCCCGTGGTCAGTGTTGGGTACCCGTGGGCGTTTCTGCAAGCTTGGCCAGGGAGTTGGTTCACAACCACATGTATCCGCTGAAAATGTCCATGGGTACACGATTACCAAAATACACGCATCTTAGCATCCCGAGTTCTGCACACCTCTCCTACGCAGGGCTGGTGAAACCCAGGGGGGTTGACGTACTTCCCATTGGTGTGCAGATGAAATAGCCAAGCGCTCCATTATCTTGGCTCTCCCTGACTGCTTCCCTGCCCTGCACCTGTCCGATCAGGCCACCCTGCAGCACGGAGAGGGACTGCCAGCTTTGGCGGGGTGTTAGCTGAGGTTCTTGGAGCAGCTGCAGATGGGAGAGGTCAGTCCAAGACTCCAGCAGTTGTGTTCTTGCCAAGAGTCTGACCCGTAGGTTTCCCATCGGCATTTCCCTCGGGTTCTCATATTTCCAACGCTGCAGGGTGAGGGTGAGTACAGTCAGAGCACCTGTGATGGGTACTCACTGGAGGTGGGAGCCGTGTCATTCCCTGCCACAGTGGCATGGCCAGCAGAACCCCAGATGCAGTGGCAGTCCTCAGTCCACGCAGGAGACCTTGCCTAGATGGAGCCTGGCTGGGCAGGATCCAGCAGCTGTGACTTGCAGGGGAATGGACCAATGGGGAGTCTTCGAGCTTCTCTTTTCTGCAAAATACCCTGATTTTGCCTGTTTGAAAATCTCTCCCGGGCAGAGAAGAAAGCAGGTTCCAGAAAGAGGTTCTGTCTGGGAAAATCGAGACCCATAGTAACCCCTGCGTGTGCTGCCACTTTGGAAACCGAAGAGTTAACATCTGGGCTTGATGCGTGTAGCATCCCATATTGCACATGGGCTGCTGCCTCCGTTCCTATGAGACACTTTATCCTTGGTCTGCAAACTTCTGTGCGCTGAGCTCAAAGGAACTTAAGATGCAAAACAGAACGTCTTGGTCACACTGTCAAGTAGTATTACACAGTGGATGAGATCGAACCAGAGCTGTGAATAGCTAACTACTTTGCATATAGATCCCATATTTTATAGGTTGAATTTTAATCCGATGTTATACATGGGAACCTCAGTTTGGAAAACGATATTTATGAACTGCTAGTGCATTTGACACCCGAAACTTACATGTTACCGCTTGGGAAGGCGAAGACCTTTTTCCCCATTAGTACTTGATTTTTTGCTGTTTTTAACTTGGTGAAAAATGAACTCAGTGAGTTACCTCCTGAAATGTGTGTGCATGGTCTTTTTATGTGGTAGGATCAGTTTTGTATTCACTTCCAAACCCCAAACCGGTTTTACATCTTGTTTAATGTCGTTTGGTGTAGGTATTACAAGCAATGGGCTACCCGACGGGCTTTGATGCAGATATGGAATGCATGAGCTCTGATGAAAAATCAGATACCGAAGGCAAAAACGAGACTGTGTCTTCAAATTCAAGCAATAATACTGGAAATTCTACAGTTGACACTTCCTCTACCTTAGAGGTGGGTATTTGCTGAAGGATGCGCAGACACAGAGCTTTCCAGGAGGACAATGGTCTTGTGGAGTTAAGGCTCTGGACCGGGAATCAGAGATTTTCATCTCTCTGCCACATGCTGCCAATGAGTCCCCAGGCAAATCCCTTCTATCGCTCTGTGCCTCTGTTACTGAGCTGTGAAATGAGGCTTTCTCACTCTCTGCCTGTGTCTCGTCAGATTTGGACTAGGCCTGCACTGGCACTTTGCAGCGCTGTAACTTTCTGGTGAACTCCGCTCCCCCCAAGCAGAGTTCCTGCACAGTAAATCGCCAGTGTGAACTAGGCAGCGGTGCTGGGAAACACACTCCCAGTGCTGTTAGCTAATGCCCTTGGGCTGTGGCCATGCTGTCAGTTGAAAGCGCTGCAGCAGCTGCACTTTAAATTTTTAAGTGTAGACAGAGCCTCAGGCTTAAACTCTTCAGGGTACGGACAGTTTGACTGTGCAGCTAGCACACTGAGGCCTTAATCTTGGTGCTCTTGTAAGACAAATAAGCCAGGAAGAAACAGAACCGTTCATTGGTTACATTGGTTACAGATGCTTTTATGCTAAAAGTATCTCTAAATTGATAAAAGGACAGAAAAGTAGCACACTGACCAGGGATGGATTTGAAAAATGCGAAAGGCATGATTGTGCTGTTAAATGTGTATGAATGGACTAGTAACGCGCTATACGCTAAAGTTACACGAGTTTAATTTTGGGACTTATAGCTTTATTAAGGAGCTCTAAAGGACAAATTCCGTGTCTGTTGTCTCACCGAGTCGATGGGAAATGTCGTTTTTCTTGAAAGAATACATTCCTTAACTTGACCGGTCTGTGCTGAATGTTTCCAAGAGTCCAGTTGCAAGGGGGATGTGCTGTAACTTTCTGTGCTTGGAGGGTGTTTTAAATTGATAATTACATGTTTTCTTAAACCGTTTCCAATCTTTACATAGCTGTCATGAGCAGACAGAATTCAGGGCTCTCTCTCAGGACGTGCGGATGTGGTTGCCTCATCTCAAAAAAAGTTATACAGGTTGGACCTCGCTGGTCCAGCACTCTTGGGACCTGACCAGTCCCAGATGAGGGAATTTGCCGGATCAGTAAAGGTCCCCTGCGACTGCTCCTCCATGCCACCAGCACCTTCGGCCCTGCTGCCAGCCAAGCAGCCAACAGCAGCACACAGCCCTGGCCCTGCTACCACAGCACTAGTCCTGCTGCCGACCTGCCATGGCCCGGCCTTACTGCCAGTCAGGCTGCCGTAACTCTGTCCCCACTACCGGGCTGGCAGGCATGGGCTGTCCCTGCCCCGCTGCCACGGCCCTGCTACTGCTGCCGGTCTGTTGAGCGCCTGGCCCTGCTACCACCAGCCTCACCTTCCGTGGGGCTCTCCTGCCCTGGGGCATTCTCGTTCAGCAACAGCCGCGTTTCTGGCGGATCACAGATGTTGCCAGACGAGAGAGTCCTGGGTTAGGGAGATGCAACCTGTATTAGAATTAGAAAAGGTTCAGAAAAGATTAAACAATTATTGGGGGGTATGGAACGGCTACCATACGAGGAGAGAAAAATAAAGCTGGGATTTTTCAGCTTGGAACAGAGCGGCCTAAGGGAGAAATGTTAGAGGTCTGTAAAATCATGACTGGTGTGGAGAAAGTGTTACTCACTCATTCTCGTAACAGAAGAACTAGGAGTGACCAAATGAAATGAATAGGCAGCAAGTTTAAAACAAACAAAAGGAAGTATTTCTTCACAGGATTCCCTGTCCACCTATGGAACTCCTTGCCAGAGGATGTTGTGAAGGCTAAAACTATAACAGGTTTGAAAGAAGAACTAGCCATATTCATAGTGGATAGGTTTATCGGTGAGTGTTAGCCAGGATGTTCAGGGATGGTGTCCCTAGCGTCTGTTTGCCAGTCCATGAGGACCATCCCTCTTATCCCATGACAGCTTACTTGGCTGAAGAACTTTTGGTGATGGGACCTTTTCAAAACAGACTATAGCCACTGGATCCCCCATGTCCACGTGCTTGTTGACCACCTCTGGGAATGGGCGGCAGAGGATGGCTCGTCTATTCTGTTCACTCCCTCGGGGGCACCTGGCATTGGCCACTGTGGGCAGACAGGACACTGGGCTGGATGGACCTTTCATCTGACCCACTCTGGCTGCACTTACGTTCTTGATGGTCCGTCCTTTCCGCTTGGATGCCCTTTGAGCCCAAGTGCCTGGTGCAGCCAGGAGTGTGTTGCTCCATGCAGTGCTGTGAATACGAATATGGCGGGTTAGAGAGACGGCCAGCCCGGCTAGCTGCCCGCTGAAATGAGCGAGTGGGAATATTGTCTCTTTCAAAGGGTTCGTCCCTCCCTTTTCCTTGGGGGGCGGGGGCTTCGTATCTGCTGCTGTGGTGCAGTAGGCTGTGCTGAAGCACTGACGATGCTCTGTGTCTGTTGCGGGTCCATCCGAGAGACCTGCTACGGCTGATGTATCTGAAAGAGCCGGCTGTTGCAGCAACACTAATGCTGTCCTTTTCCAGGTGGGCAGCCAGCCGGTTGTTCTGGGCAGACATGCCGTAGGCGTGTGGCTGCAGCTTGAGTGTTGGCCATAATATATCTTGTCTCTGCAGGTAAGAACTCAGGGTCCTATCCTCACAGCAAGTGGCAAAAACCCGGTGATGGAGCTAAACGAAAAGAGACGAGGTCTTAAGTACGAGCTCATCTCCGAGACAGGCGGGAGTCACGATAAGCGCTTTGTAATGGAGGTGAGTGAAGCTGAGCTCTGAAATCTGCGAGTGGCTTCGCTAACAATGCTGCAGTTCTCCTGGTGTTATTCCTGAGCCTTACCATTCATTATCATCCACACGAGATCAGTAACCGTTTCAGGGCCCTGTACTCCCCAGTGCCACGGAGGTTGTGGGGATCGCAAGGGAATCGCCCTGGGTAATCCAGCAAGGAGGGAGGATTTGATTATAATGCCCCTAAACACATCACATCCCTGCCATGTCGTGGGGAGAGGGCAGAAGATGCTGCGTAGCCAGAGCCACTGACCAGGGTGTCGGGCAGTCCTGGCAGGGCAGTGTGAATGCCCTGGCTTGATTGTCTTGTGGCCAGCTTAGCGGGAATTAGTCATGATGTAACCGAGGGAGCCCAATTCAGTCGGTCTGATTCTACTCAGCAGCAGCAAGTTGTTGAGCCGACTTAAAATCCGCATTGATGGGCTCTGAAGAGAGAACAAAGCAGCTCTTCTTAGCCAGAGCATAGCCATAAGGCACAGCCTTGTCGGTGCTGGGGGTGCAAAGCTGGCTGGGTAGGGCTGTCTTGGGATGAGCATGAGCAATAAAGCCAAGGTCCTGCCCACCACGTGCCAGAGTGTTGATCCCAGCCTAACTCCATCCCAAGTAAATGTATTTGATCTCTTTACATTCCCCCTTCAGTTTCAGCTTGACAAGGGATTCACCTGTCCTGTGTCACAGTTACATTTCAGTTGTGCTTAGTGGTTCAAGTGATCGCTTTACCTATCCCATGGGGCTACCGGGTTTAATTAGTTCTGTTGTAGAGTGCTTGGAACTCACTGGAAGAAATACGAGTTTGTTTCTGCCATAACGGAATTCCTTTTTTTTTAATGGCTTTGAGTCCAGCCAGGATCTGATTGTGAATAGGAGTTGTCCTTTCCGCCAGGCAAAGTACTGGATCTAAATTAACCTCTTGGCTTCAGGTAGAAGTAGACGGGCAGAAGTTCAGAGGCGCAGGTCCAAATAAGAAGGTGGCGAAAGCGAGCGCTGCTTTAGCAGCCCTTGAGAAACTGTTTTCTGGGCCCAATGCAGCAAACAATAAGAAAAAGAAGATTCTCCCGCAGGTAAGAATCCCCAGTTCCCATGTGTCGTTGGCAGCACCGCCTGGGGGAGCGCTAGAGAATGCTACATAGTTCTGGTTTTTGTTTCAGCTACACCAGACTAATACGGCTACATTTCTATCACTATTCCACAGGACTTCAGGCTGCTGTTCTGCAGGTCCTTTGAAACTACTGTCCTTTGCTTTATTGCTCTGTTGTTAAGCAGTTGTAAATTGCACTTAGAGGCCTGAGAAGATTTGAGGGCTGTCCAAAGCCACAGGGAAGTGGGGGAGGGGAGGAGGGAGTGACTTTGCCCAGGGTCATAGGACCTGTCAGTGCTAGAGTCAGTCATAGAACCCAGCTCTTCTGAGTTCAAGTCCTGTGCAATATCCACTAGACTACGCTACTGTCTGACGGTGCGTCTACACTGCACCTTAGGTCGAAATAAGATGCACAATTTGAGCTGCGCAAATTGCACATCATATTTTGATATTTCAAAATAGTTTATTTCGAAATTTGGCGCTGTCTACACAGCACTTACTTCAAAATAAATCGCTGTTCCAGAATGTCCCTTCCTCCCAATGGAATGAGGGTTACAGGGACGTCGGAATAGCGAGCCCGTTGTATTTCAAAATAACGGGCACACTCAAAAGACGTGGACTATCCCAAAATAGTGCTGCAGTGTAGACATAGACTAGTAGAGAGCGTAGAGTACCTTGTTTATAGCCTGCTGATGGACACATCCTCTAGGTTCCAGACAGAGTTGAATTTAAGCCTTTTCAAACGCAGCGTTTCGTTGGATGAGGAGGATTTGTTTAGTAGAAACTTGGACTTCGGACTTTTTACATTAGATTCTAACAATCTGAATAATTAAAATGGTTCCTGAGAGCCACAGTGATCTCTCCATTCTATAAAGTGAACATTGATAATCAGCTTTCTTTCTGCTCAATGAACTTCTTTCAGACAGCCACACTCAGAAAAAAGTCCTCATAGTTACTGCTTTGATCTGCATTGTGTGGATTAACTAGAATTAGGATTTCTTCTGCAGCCTTTGCAAAAATGCAATTTATGTTCCATCCTGCTAAAGCTTAAAGTGTAGTGAGAGAAATGACCAGCCCTTTGTATTAGTTTTGTACCAACACTTATGTTTATAGCAATTCTCCTGGGCTCACCAAGACCTACAGTTTTTGCATCATGGAAGTTCTTGAGCTTCCATTTTTACTTCAAAATCCAATTCGTGGTCATAGAATCATGGAATACTAGGACTGGAAGGGACCTCGAGAGGTCATCGTGTCCAGTCCCCTGCCCCCATGACAGGACCAAATACTGTCTAGATCATCCCTGATGTCATGTTCTACACAAAGATGCCAGTTAAGATCCAAGCGTAATCTGAGATCCGAGCTCTCAGATTTTGTTTGGTCACTTTCAGCTCTCAGTTCTTTACAATAAGCCATGACAATACTACCCTTCTAAAGCTCTCCAGACTGCAAGAAGTTGCCAGTTAGCCCTCAGCTGCTGACCGTGGACCGATGTGCTTTGATGCACCCATGCAAACTCTCTCTCTTTATTTTGCTTTTTAAAAAGGGAAAAATCAGAGTTTTTAAGGGGAGTTTGGCCAAAACCTTCTATGCTTAGAACAACAGGACTATCGACACAATTGTAGCTATTGGGTGCTTTGAGTAGTAGAAGAAAAATATTTAAAAAGGCATTTCCTGAGTAGGACAAGCAGATGGAGCCAGAAGGTAATTAAGGAATTAAGATAATTATAACAAAATAAAAAGAGAGAAAGCAAGAGATTTATTCACACATGTAAAAGAGGAATAGATTGTAAGGTGGGTCAGAAAATAAAGATGGGTTGGGAAGGATTCAATACGGGAGACATTAAGCATTTAAAATGGATAGGATTCTAGTAGCCAGGCGTGAAAATGGCTTGTTGCCTCAAGTGCATAAAAGCTTGTTACAAAGTGGATGGAGGAGAAAATAATATTCTTAAACCGTGAGGCTGGGACAAGATGCAGTGGGTTTAATTTGCAGCAAGAGAGGTTTAGGTTGGACATTAGGAAAAACTTCCTGTCGGGTAGTTAAGCCCTAGAATAGGTTGCTTTGGGAGACTGTGGAAGCTCCATCATTGGAGATGTTTAAGAGCAGGTTAGGCATGAACTTGTCAGGGATGGAGGTAGGGTACTGGAGTAGATGACTTCTCGCATCCTTCTAGTCTTATTAGTCTATAAAAACCTATCTCCATGTGAGGACATGGGAAGAGATGGATCCAGCCGAATGGATACTGCACATATAGCCCAAAGGAAGGGTAACTATGGTTACATCTCCACTACAGCTGGGTTCCACGTTCAGGCGATAGATGCAGCAGGGATTCGATTTAGCAGGTCTAGTGAAAACCCACCAAATCGACCACGGGTTACTCTCCAGTTGACCCCAATACTCTACCCCAGATGAGATAAGGTAGCTCGACGGGGGAGTGTCTCCTGTTGATCCATCATGGTCAACTTACTGTAGTAGCCTAGGTATTGCAAGTTTAATTCCTATCTAACGAGTCTAACTGTAAGCAGCCGTGGTTCCCTAAAACCCAGGAGTACCCAAATCAGTGGCCAATGTGCCAGTCACCCGGTAGCTGCCAGTCTGTCCTGTGGGAGTTGCCGAGTGCTCAGTGCTTCTGAACGTGTGGCAACCCAGTGAGTAAATGATGCCCAAGGCTTTGCCCACACAGAGTTAGTGGCCAACAGGTGAGAGTCTACTCTACACGAGACTCTTGTGCATTGTTAGCCGGGCCCTTTGTGAAGTGGGACTAGCTCAGCTGGTATTCGCTGTTAATGTGCATGGGCAGGGGCCACCCGGACGCTTTGGCCGAGCCTGCACTGGCACTTTGCAGCGCTATAACTTGTGGCTCCCCTACCCCGGGTGCAGGGCTGCAAAGCGCCAGTGAACCAGGCGTCAGCGCTGGGAGCCCAGCTGTTCCCCTCATGGAGGGGAGACTTGTCTCCCAGCGCTCGCGTGTGGCCACGCTTTCAGCTCAAAGCGCTGTCGTGGCTGCGCCCTAAACGTTTGTGTAGCCAACGTCACAGCGTGCAGAAAGCGCGTGCCCGGCTTGCCGTGAGCAGACAAGCCCCACCACTGACTGTAGGAGCCTAAAGAGAAGGGTGAAGTTTTTCCAACGATCTTACCCTGGCTTTAATTCACTTGGGTGGGATCCTGGCCCTGTTGAAGTTAATACGGCTGGTGTTTCACTCTGGATCCGTGAAATATTACGGTAAAAATGCCGATGTTTCCATTCTCCACCCCGACTTGATTGCCCCAGCTTAGCTCAGCACTTCACGAGGCAGGGCAAAGCCGCGCTGCTCAGTGCTTTGAACAGTCAGCCAGCTGGAGAGGAGAGTTCAGACAGGGGAAGTAGTCAGCACCCTCCCCTCCTCTCTCCAGCACCAAGGGTCAAGGATTTCTATGTGACAAGCCCAGCTTTGCAGCAGAGACGCCACGTCCCTGCAGCTCCTCCCAGGCAGGCAAGATGCAGCTTAGTAGCAAAGTGTCGTGGCTTATTGGCACTGGAGCAGTGAGACACACGTGACACAAAGATGGCCCATCCCTGCCCCCGGGAGTGGTCACTCTGTGGATTGCTGTGGTGCCAGTGTGAACGAGAGATGCCCATGGGAGCAGCTGGCAGTGCTCCGTTCCTTCTGTCCAGGGAAGGGGATGGGGTCAGTTGAGAGAACCCCCCACAGGCCTGTGCCCCAGAGTCCCACTTCAGCCTGAGTATGGACACGCGTGGTGGGCTGACTGCAGTCTCTGCGGGAGCTCATGCACATCGCGTGGCTGGGTGGCTCGTGGCTGCTTCCGTGTCCTGAATCGTGCCCTGTGCTTTATTCCGCAGACCAAAGGGGTTGTAAACACAGCCGTGTCTGCAGCGGTCCAGGCTGCTCGAGGAAGAGGACGAGGCGCTTTAACGCGAGGGGCATTTGTCGGGGCAGCCCCGGCCACTGGATACATAGCACCAGGTACGTCACGGGGCTGCCAGCGAAGGCCTGACCATGCTGACTGTCCGTGGATGAGTGTCCATCTCTCTGCGGGCCAGGCCCGTGCCGGCTGGTGACCTGTGCCATTGCGCAGCATTTGAATCACAGGGAAAAACCCGCATGGGGGGGGGGTAAATAAAGGGGAAAGCCAGAGAGTCTGTGCTTCCCTTGCGGTTTATTGTGCACGGAAGATGAGCAAATAGCTATCCTGCTCCAGAGCGTGGTCATTCTGACCACTGCCTTTCTCCTAGCTCTTTCTCCTATTCCCACCACTCTGAGCCCAGTTGTGACATCGCCGGGGCGATGTGCCAGTCAGGATTAGGGTTGGCTTTCCCAGGAGCGCCTCGTTCTAGATGAGGCTACAGGATTAGCCTTCGTAAGGGCAGAAGGGTATTGTGTGTGCAGGCGGTTACAGGCCTGTCCTGTGTGCCTTGCTGTGCCTTCTGCCGAATCTCCTCTCGCAGCCGCCGATCGGCCATCAGAGACACTTCAGCCCTCGGGGCAGGGCTATCGGAGTGGGAATTGCTGCTCTGCGGGAGTGCGTTCGAGAGTGGGAAGCTATGGGCACCCCGCACGTTCGCAGGTGTGAGCAGAGGTGCCTTTTAGCAGCTGTCGGGTTGGGAGGAAGGAAGTCCCCCGTCGTGTTCTGGCTGGTGCTGCTCTGTGGTACAACACTGCAGGTCCAGATTAAAAGCTTTTTTTGGTTCCCACTGGTACATGGGCCCCTTCCCACAGAATTCACGTTGCTGGTCAGGCGGTTTCAGTGTTCATTCCAACAGGCAGGGTTTCGCAGAGCGGTCTAGCAGGGCCGGGAAGCAGTCGGAGCGTGCTAGAGGGGAGATAGCTGAGCTGTGGTTCCTTGTAGATTAGGGAAGGCTACTACAGGCTGATTGAAGCCCCTGTAGCCAATTAAGGCCCCATCGGGACCCTAATAACTCCCCCTTGCTTCAGGCAGCACGGGGAAGGGGAGATGAAGGAGAGAGGATGGGAATTGGGAGGTGTGTTGCTCAGATTTGAAAGACCAGAGAAGTGGAGGGAGACCGTGTCCCAGCAGAGCAGGTAGAATGACTCCACCAGTATTCAAGGACCAGGGGGAAGAGGGTAAGAAACTGCAGGGATTGAGAGGCGCTGGGGCTCAGATCCAAAGCCTTTTCATGCTTCCCTTCTCCACCTCCTTCCTGTGCCCCAAGAGCCAGGGAAAGGGGAGATGTCCTAGCCTCCCACCAGGAAAAGCACGGGACCCACCATGCCAACATTGGCTGTCTTTTCACAGCTGCCATGGTAAGCAAAACCTGTAGCTCCAGGAACAACAAAGTGCATAGGAATTTCTGAGTCTCTCTCATGTTTTGCTTTGTCTGAAATGCTGTATCTCACCTGGTGGGTGTCATATCCCTGGGAACGGGTGGTCACAAGGCATTGAAAATCATACTCCAGTGTAAAACAAAGAATCTTGCTCTTCCTTTCCCTGCACGCTGTTACCCTTCAAGGTCAGGTATTCTCTGTGACCTTTTCCAGCTCCACAAGCCAGTTACATTGGCTTATCCTGACATAGGCACATCACTTTAAGCCGTGGGATCACGAAAATGAGAGTTTGCATAAGGGGTTGTTAAGCTGAAGAGGCTGAGTCACACTGGTGTAGAGAGAATTTGCAGGCGTTGAAGGGTGGAAAGAGACTCTCCTCTCTTTCTGTATATATTATTTTATTCTTTGGTCTCTTTGCCTCCAAAGTTCCATGGCCGATGCTCACTTAGTAGCTTCCAAAGTGTGAAACCCTGATCGTTAGTGCTGACAATTTTTAGGTTCTAGCATAAACTCTAATTACACCCACCAGCAGTTCCCAAATGTTAATAGTGCAGCCCTGGAGTTGGGTCTATTTACCTCTCTGGCGCAGTCAGCAATGTGATACCTTTGTTGTTCCTGTATGCTGATGTAATCATAAATATTAAAACCCAGTAATTCATTTTTAATGGACTTGAACATTGTTTCCAAAACTGCTTCCCTGCCTGAATCATTTCTGAGACCTGGGTAACCTGTTAGAGGCACAGTCCTAGCCAGTGGAGTTCTTCCAGAAATAGGTTTAATTTCCCAGTCGTCATACTTGTTAAGCATTTCTTTCCCTTGGCTCATATACGTTTTCCTTGTCAACCTCCCTCCCGCCCCAACCTCACCCACCTAAAAAAAAAAAAAAAAGCTTTACTAGACGTGGACAAAAACATTCCCTGCCAGATGTGAGTGGTGCTAAGGCTTTGTGAAATCACAAGCAGCAATAACCCAAACTAGTGCTGTGACCATGCCTTTGTATTCAGCAAGCAAACATCCTCTCCCTTGGCGTGCCTCCTGTCCCCCAGTGGAGTTTGTCTATTTCAGCTGCCATCAGTGCCTACTTACAGCCATTCCAATGCCTTCTGTAGAATGTCTGTGGACTGTCTGCGGAAACCAAAAGGCAGCATTCTTAATCACCAACACTATCTGCTGGTGATTTGGACCTTTCCATAGGCCTCCAGGTTTCCCATGTCCTTAGTGGAGGACTGAGGCCAATGACTGTTTTGTGCATGAAGCTGTATTAGTATTTTATGAGGAGTCTGTACACAGGGCCTGGCCAACCCTTGCAGTGCAACAACATTGACTGGAAAGTTCCAACAAAGGGAAACTAAAGGAAACAGAAAGATTGAGCTTCGCTCTGCTGTGTTGAAGCTTCAAAAAAAGGTGCAAACTGTCTCATTTATTTTTGCAGCCGGAATCTGGAGCGATGACACCCAAATGCTGCTTAACTATTTTAACTTAAGTGGGAGTGGAGTTTCTGATTTGCGTATGGCCCCCTGTGTAGTAAGTTTGTGACCTTTGATCTGATTCTCCGTATGCTTGGGGGGATGAAATCCAACACGTGTTCTGTTTGTATTGTAGGCTATGGGGCACCATGGTACGTATGACCTGTTAACTGAGCTAGAAACGACATTGAAACTGTTGTGGCAATCCTACAATAGAGATTGCCCTAGAGTGTGCAAGAAAATCAGAGCTCATTTTAAACGTGACGATGAGGACCTTTCAATTAATGCCGTAACCTTGTGGTTCTTGTTTTGGTTGGAGTAGCTTTTTGCCTATGCTTTGCCTGATTGTGGAAGGACTGCTTGTTCTAACTGCCTGTTCCCTTTCATCTTGAAACTGAATATTTTTAAGTAGTTCTCCTACTTTTTACAGCCAACTTGTGCTCCATTCAAAGAATACCAAAGGGCCAAATCGAACACCCTTGATTATTCCTCTCCTGCCCCTTGGCCAAAATGATGGTCCATAAGTTAGACTTGTGGGCATTTCTTCTTCTTGCCTCAGCATTTTGAAATGCCCACTGCCACAAACCTCTCCGAACCAATCCAGACACATTTTATATCGCTGCAGGCTAATTGGGTTACA